CATTTTTTAAGGCCATTTAACGAATTTCTCATGCTGCACTTGATGCAACATCTGTGCTACCGAAGTTTTCAGGGGCGTGTACTGTTATGGTGCGAACCTTGGTTGTAAGTTCAACTTAGGGAGTCCCAAATAGTCTCGCACATCTCCATTTCTCTTGGGAGATCGATCTTGATCCTTCTTAGGATTGGTTTCTTTTCTCTTTTTTACCTTCATGGTGATTTGACACAGGAGTTACGCCAAGCATGAAAGGCCTTTTCTCTATTAATGTACTTCTCATCTTCAATCAGCACATCAGCTATGCTGGCATGAGGATTTTTGGAAACTAAAAAGAGAGACTCTGAAGGTTGTAGCCCAACAATATAGGTTGTCAAAATCCACTTTGTCATATAGACCATCCATCTAGAGAGACTTTTGGTTGAAGCACTAGACATATTTCCTCAACAATTCATTTAACTTTTGCTTGATGTTAATGAGAAATGAGGTCGGTTTGAGGTAAGTCCTCGCTTTGATGAAGTATAAGAAAATTTGTATGGACATCTCCTTAAAGGAAGAGATTGTAAATGGTGGTAGCTTGTTGAACTAGGTCAGAATAGAGCCCTTGAGAGTGATTACAAAGGCTCTGCATTAAACAAGATCCTAGTAGTTATGGACCTCTATCTAGTTCTTGTATGTGTTGGGGGTGGTCGAAGGGATCATTACTTTCATCGAAGGCCTCCATCTAAGACATCTTGAATTTGGTTGGGTGAGAGAAATATTGGATCTCTAGAGTGAATGAAGACTTTTCTTGCTAAACCAAAGCCTCCATGAAAATTAGAGCTGGATTCTTGACAATGTTTCTTATATTACTCTACTCATCCTGGACCTCTTTGATGCAGTTCTCCCAATATTGGTTTAGAGAATTTTGATAAAGAGGAGGTTAAGAGACATGCTTCCTATTGCTACCAGTTCTATTGTGAGCCTCATCTTCTTGCTTTACTTGAACTTCAAAAACATTTAGTGTTCTCACCTGAATGGCTTCGATGGTCTTCCTTAGTAAACCCCATTAAGTGACAACTGAGGAAGTGAATGATACTAAGGTGATTGAGGCTAATGGGGAAGTGAAGAGAACGATAAGTTCTTGATTTTGCCTGAGGAGGCAAAATATGGTTTGCTAGTAAGTTTCAGGTTCTTCCACCAGATACGGTTTGCATGAGGAACTGAAGCTAGAGGTGGAGGTATTTGTGTGTTGGTTTTCTAGGTTTTAGCTTATGTTTCTCGTTAGAATCATCAATCAAACAAGGGTTATGCAGTTTCAGAGCAAAACGATGACAATTGTTCCCACATACGACACCAAACTAATGGTGTAGGAGATCGAGAAACGTGAGTTAAGCATACAAAGTGAGCTCTACTGTGATGAGGGAGAGCTCTTTGTATTTGTGTGTGTAGGATAATAATAAGTAGGAATACAAAAGGATAAGTGATTCACCAAACCGAAAAGTTAGGTTAGTCCATTCTAATGAAGACTTTTATTTCTCTTGTTTGTATATCTTGAACAAGAAGACAGTTACAGTCTTTTGTGATTACAATTTTCACATTATGGGCAACGCAAGAGTTTGTCTATTTTACACTAAGGTAGTGTGGTCCTCAAGTAATGATGAGGTGGTCCCTTAGTTTATTAGGATATTGGAGGGAATATTTAACCGTTAGAGACTATGTTCTCTAAGTATGATGTGACATTTTAGAAGTTGATGACATGATATTCTAAGGATGAATTATTTTTGCCCAGGGTAAGATTTGGTGGTGTAATGTCTCTTCTATCCTTTTTTAGTGTAGGGTAGGTTTGTCGATCTACTTTGATGACTACTGATCTGCTTTATCGATTGATGAGTTGGATCATGCTCTTCAGGTTTGTTAGGCTATAGTCACGTCTGTCAATCCTTTATGTAGTGTCGTAGATCTTGTTTGTATGATGAATTTATTCTTGATATCATTATATTTTAAGAGATATTTTGATTGTCATATACAGAAATATAAGTATTATAGTAAATGAATTTATGTTTAATTATTACGTACATGGTTTCTATTTGTATCTATTTAAGTTGGGTTCTTTGGAAGCCGGTACACCTAATTAGACTTATTTGACAAAAAGTACATAGAACAAAATGTGAGTTAAAAAAACATAAATACCCATTTTAGGATTATTTAATTCAAAACCTCTTATCTTTAACTCACATTGATTCATGTGTGTTTATTAATACATATAAGTACGTATTTAATGCACTTTTGACTCATATATATTTGTTAATACATGTAAATATATATATATATATATATGTGTGTGTGTGTGTGTGTGTGTGTGTGTGTATGTATATACAAATATATATACTTATTTATACACACACACACACGTATATATATATGTATATACAAATATATATACTTATTTATATACACACACACACACACACACACATATATATATATTTGTTGTTAAATCTCTTATTTAAATTTTGAATTATCTTTAATGCACCTTGATTCATGTGTATTTTTTTTTTTGAAAAGTGATTTTGTTTTCAAATTATATTTAATACACCTTTATTCAAGCGTTTTTTTTTGGAAAATAGTTTTATTTTTAAATTAATTTAATATCCGAATAATGTATAGTATAACAATAACAACGTAATAATAACAGTGTAACAAATACATTGTAACAAAAACAGTGTTAAGTAGTTTTGTGTATATGATAACAAATTCAAAAAGAAGATGAACTATTTTGAATGAAATTATATGAAACTATATGTTTGACAAAATGTAATAGTACAATATTTTGTGTAAACAACTTGTTACACTATTATTTTTATACTGTTACATTGTTATTGTTACACTGTTATACTATTCGAATATTAAATTAATTTGAAGATAAAACTACTTTCTAAAAAAAAATGCATAAATCAAGGTGCATTAAAAGATAATTCAAAATTTAGATAAGAGATTTAACAACAAGTATATACATACATACATATATATATATATATATTATATATATATATATATATATATATATTATATATATATATATATATATACATACTTGTTTGAATTTCAAAATTTGTATTCATGTATATATATGTATGAAAGTTCTCCCATAAAACTAAAAGATGTTTAATACACCACTTTTCAAATAAAAGTGGTGCATGAATTAATGGAGGACAAAAATATCACAATAAAAATAGATAAATTCAAATTATATACTTGGATACAAATCAGTATCAAAATTAAATACTTAACAACCCTACATCTTTTAGTGTGTACTTTTTGTCAAATAAATATAATTTGATGTATTCCTTACAATTTACCCATTGAAGTTCTTATCCATGGGCGGGCGGTGCATGGGCCAAGGTTCATGATGCAGGCAGTGTGTATTGAGGGCCGGCCCACGCAATCCGTGGCCACCTCCGTAGGCGTAGGGAAGTGAAGTAGCCACCAGTACAATCGTATAAGTCAGCCTTTTGACTAAAGTCTGGCTTTGACCCTGCTATTTTGATGTGTATCCAATCCTGCACTTGTATTAACATCAGACAGCTATGGTATACGCATTTGCACTAGGGATATGTTGGTCTAAAATTAAGAATGAAAAGGGCAGTAATGTCAACACAGCAAAAACATTTGGGGACTACTTTTCGATAGATACATGACTCACACAGCTGTATGAGCTGTTGTGTACATGGCCTTTATGCATAGTGGGTTGGCATCGCCAAAAATATAGAGGACTTTGTGCCTCTTTTTCTATTCACACTCTCCATCTCTGTCTTCTCTCTCTCTCTCTCTCTCCAGTCTCCACCAGTCCATCTTCAAGCTTATCTCTGTCCCATAAAACACAACCAATAGATTTTGCTACTCCGTTAGATTTTTCAATTTTCAACTTCAGATTCTCTCTCTCTCTCTCTCTATAGCTTTCTGTGGTTTGTTGGGCGATATTTCCGGCTCTATGAAAGTAAACATGAAATTGCATAGATATTGATACTTGAGAGAGAGAGAGAGAGAGAGAGAGAGATCTGACGAGTGGGTCATTACAACGCAAACAGCTCACTGAGCTGCGAATTCTGTCCGATGATTCCTCTTGAGATCCATTCAATCGGTTTCTGGAAAATGCAGACCAATTGTTCCAGTTCCAGTTGTTTTTAAAGAAGCTATCTACCTCTCTTTACTTACCTCTTCCATCCAAGCAGCCCAACCATAACGATTGTTACTATCCCAACTACTCCCCTCTGCATTTTTTTTCTGCTGTATTTTTTATTTTTATTTTTTGAAATTTTTGGATTAACTAAGGAATTTGTGGCATGCGTGTGGTATGTATATGAAGATTTTTCGTGGGTGCCCCGTTTCGGATGGAATCGCTCCAACACAATTCTGACATTGCTGGTTGATGATTTGCTCGAGTTTTATTAGCCCAGATTTAGGGTTTTTGAAGGCATTCAGCATTGCAACTTCAGGTACCTTTTCTTTGGATTCTGCCGAAAAGCCACTCTGCCTGCCGCTTTTTCACCGGTTTTCTTCCTTTTTGGGACTCGCCCAGATTCTTACATTACTTACTTGGCTTTGGGCAATTAAATATTTCAAGTATCAATTACTCTTGCTATCTGCAATCTATTGAGCTGTGCAATTGCATTATGTTTGTGATGTTTCAAAAGGTAAAAGTGAGTGCTCTGTTGTGATACAACGGTTAAAACTTCAATACTTGCTTTCCAGTATTTCTTTCCCTACAACTACCCTTTAGGTTACGTATGCACCATTGGATTCGTCACCTGACTACATGGATTTCCAAGTCTGTGGCAAGTGATTGTGAAGCTTCTTCAATTGCGGATTCTGCTTTACATTTTTTGACATACTTTCCTATTTTGGATCTGAGTACCTTCACCTCCATATTTGGGAGTTAATTCTTGGGGTGGCTCTGTTTGGATCTACCAAGTCTGATTGAGTGGCGGCCATTGTGCTGATTTTGTGATAATTCTGAAGCATCGATGGGGCTTCTTCGAAGTCTCGCGATGCTTCTCCTTTTGATATGCTGCTTTTGGTTGCCCAGTGTTGTCCGAGCTCAGTCGCCTGGTTCTGCACGGGCACTGGATGCACTTCTCCAAGACTACGCTTATCGGGCATTTGTTCGTCCAAGGACCGGTGTTGTCTATGATGGGGTTGTCCCCTCAAATTTGTCTGGGATTAGTATTTCTGCGATGAGGCTGAGGAGTGGTAGCTTAAGGTCTAGAGGTGTTTCAATGTATAAAGAGTTTGTGATTCCTGTGGGTGTCATTGAGCAGCCATATGTAGAGAGGCTTGTTCTGGTCTATCAAAACTTGGGCAATTGGTCTACGATGTATTATCCTTTACCTGGTTACATGTACTTAGCTCCTGTTTTGGGTCTTCTTGCTTACGATGCTTCAAATTTATCTGCAAAAAACTTACCTGAGTTGGAGATTAGGGCATCTCGGCAACCAATATCAATCAATTTCACTGATATCCAATCAGTGCCAGAGGGTTCAGTTGTAAAGTGTGTTTCGTTTGATTTACATGGATTGTTCAATTTCAGCAATTTGGTGTCTGGGAATGTATGTTCAACATTCCAACAGGGGCATTTCTCTATTGTGGTCGAGTCCACTGCTCCTCCCCCTGTGCCGGTGTCTCCTGCACCACCCGGGGGAGCCCCAAACGCTGGTCCAAGTGGTGAAAAAAAGAACAACTCTAAAGTCTGGATAATAGTTGGGTCAGTGCTGGGAGGACTAGCATTGTTGGTTTTTTTGGCATTACTGGTAATGTGGGCACAGAAGTACAAGCACAGGAAGAAAATGCAACAGATGGAGAGGGCTACAGAGGCTGGGGAAGCACTGCATATGACTACAGTGGGAACCACAAAAGCACCAGCAGCAATGGTGACACGAACACAACCCACCCTTGAGACTGAATATGTGCCTTAACCACTGCCATTTGTAAAAGCTGCCCTCTTCCATTCATTTTCATGTTCAATTCATCGAATTAGGTATTCTTCTGCTCACACCTGTTTTTGTTGGTGTCCATTCCTTAGCTTTGTTGGTTCTTGGTAGGCTCCTGATTGTAGTGTGGGCAATAGAGGGTTATTGTGTAGATAATACTCTGTTACCTCCCACGAAAACCGGTCCTACTTTCTTGATTCGTTATTGGTGTGCATTTAGCCGTAGTCCACAGTGGTTTTATCTGTGTTGAATTTTTCCATGCCATCGACAAGGAATAAAAAAAAAAAAAAAATTCTTGGCATCATGCTTTCTTGGATTGTGCTCAACAATGGCCAATTGATTTAGATTGATGAGCATTAGATAAAGTTTCACTATGCAAATGGGATAATATGAGTGATGATTTTTCTTATTTTGGTATTGTGAATGTTGTAGTGGTATTGAATAAGATTCGAGGTTCCTCCATGTTTTTGCTTCAAGCTGTGAACATGTAGTCTGGCATGATATTATCATTGGCTGTCTTCGTGAAATGAACTTGCTAAATGAACCATGTGGAGATGGAGCACAGGGTTGGTCCCTGTGGGACATTATGTTTTCTGGGTTGCTTTTTTTGATGATTGAAAAAGGGAAATGATAGGTGGGGCTTTGCTTCGCTTCTAAAGAAGCTTTCCATCAATTCCAGCGATGTAATTCATGCTGGAGATTGAAATTCTAATTCATCTTACACTATCCTTCGGTATGGTAAAACAGAATAGAAAACCCCAGCAACCCAAAATTTTGTTTCTCTTTAATTGTTTTAGAGTAGTTCCTTCCTTTGTTTCCAGCATGTGAGTTACTCTTACCCTTATTATCTGTGTTTTATTGAGCCAAAAAGAAAAAGCCCAATTTCCAATAGACGTGCTGGTGTAGGTGTTGTTAAGTCAGAATTGAGATTGAGAATGGTTAGTCCAAACTCCAGGGTACATCAGAAACTGTGGAACAGTCAGACACAGCCCAAGTGGGAATCCAAGTCAAAACAAGGGGCTAAACCCCCCATCACAGTTGTCTTTTTCAGCTGTATTTATATGAATTCTCCAATTATTATTACATATGCGGCCTCAGACCGCTAATGGCAAAATATCATTTTCCATCTAATAGTTTTTTTTTTTTTTTATTATTATTATTTAATATATGAAGACCGTCCAAAATTATCATTTCTCTCTCATAGTTTGTTGAGGTGCTATGCATGTCGTGTCCCCCCAAAGAAAAACAAATATGGCTACGTGGATCCAAGATACTAATAGACAAATGAATGACTTTGAGCTGAAATTCATGATTGAAAAGGACCTACTAACCCATTTCTTCATTTATTATTAATACTTGTATTCCACTAAATCAAATATGATTCCCAAACAAAAGCTTAGACGAGGAGCATAAGGAGTAGTTTGTCGGTGTCTCCGTTAGAGAATAAAGATATCTTGTGACTACTTCTATACCCCTAAACAGAACTCGTGAACTTTTCACCAACTGAGCATTGCAACTGTAAATTATCAGCAGTGTCACGAACAAAAATTTTGCAGACCAAAGTTGTAAAAAATAGACACCAAAACTTAACTGTAAATTTGGTGTAATTTGAACAGGAACCAAATTAAACTAAATCAAATTGGACTTGAAACCCAAACAAGCCAACTAGCCAAGTTAATGCCAATGACATTTCAACTTGGCTACATGGTAGGCATATAAAATATTTCTTGGAGTAGAACGGTGGGTGGAGCAATTTAAAGCATATAGATGGTCCTTTTGTTTCAAAGTGATTAACGGGATTTTGAGAAATGGTATAAGGAGTGGTGATGAATTTCTTTTACAAGTATCTGGTCACTCTTGACTTATTGAATTGAGTCCTGTCACTCAAAAAGAAAGGTTAGAAGGGCGCAGGAGTATTTTTCGGCGTGACCCCTTGGACGATTAAGTCAATATGTGAGAGGGGTGTAAAATTACTGTTCTATTCCTTGGGTCATAATTTGTGTACCTTTGTTTCAAGTTTGTGAGAGTTATTTATACCTCAATGAAGCTAATCCTGACGGATAGGTGAATCCCCTAGAAGGAAGACTCCTTATTAGCCCATACAGAAGGCGACCTGTGGTGCACAATCTTCGGGCAGAGTGCCTTCGTTGTCATGTGGAAGGAAGTTTTTTGCATTTAATGCTCGCCCTCCGAGGTCTGCTGAACAATAAATGTGTTCCATCCTTCTGAAAGGTCATTTAATATTTTCTCGTGGACCTAGCGCACACGTAGTTGTTGTTCATGCTCTGCCGACATGGAGGATTAGGCGTCGAGGTGACGTATCTAATGGTGGTCCCTTGGGGTGGCATATACACCAAGGACATGTGTCGAGTTGCTGGGTGTCCGAGGCATTTGAGTCAAGGACACGTGTCAATGTACGAAAGCGTTCAGGGATGCAATGCGCCGAGGACACACGTCAATCACAGAGAACTCTGAGTGAGAATATGCTGATGACACGTGTCAATGCATGGAACATCCGGGATGCAACGTGTCGAGGACATGTGTCACTTGTATGGAGCTTCGAGGGAACCCATGACGAGAACACATGTCAAACCAAGGAGGTTCCACATCTATGATGCTGAGGCCATATGTCGGCTCTCTATTAACTTATGAAAATGTCCCATCACCTATTCATTTGTAGATGTTGGACTCAAACAATGGTGAATACCTATCTGCCCAAAAGTTACTATCTTAGTTGGTTGGCATGGCTATGACATGCGGGTGCCTCATCCAAAAGTGCACCATGCCTTATTCAAGGTTTGGGTGTGCTTGACCAAGCAACTCCTTTGTATAAAATTGGCTTCCTAAAGACTTGGTTGGGTACTTGGTTTGGTATCAAAGATGTTCGACAAATGTTCAAGTGGCATGCAATGACTATGTTCCGGCTTTCATCGTCATGACTCCTTGGTTCAAAAGATGTTTGTTGTTGTCATTAGGATTTTGCTCACTAACGCTATTATAGGGGGTCCACGAAGGGGTGTCATTCTGACTTCCCTAGGGACTCCTATGCCCCTTATGCCTTGGCTTACCAAAGCAAGGTACAACCCCAACAAATACTTGTCATGAGTGTAAACAACGTATTCCAAAGTCTAAGATCCGAAAATGTGGGGCCGATGATCTGTGGGACCTGTTGTTGGTGGAAACCTTATGCATGGTTGAGGAAGGCAGGACATGTATGGGTATGTAGGGCATAAGCAGGCAAGGAAGGCTAGTTGTGTGGGCTCAAATTGTGGTGCATTGCTAGCTTGAAAGACCAAGTTATGGGCTGGACATGGCTTGTCACACAAGCAAGGGAAAATCAAGTGTTGTTGGCTCACAAGGGAGGCATGTGCACATTATGTGAGGCAGTTCCAAGTAGTTGAGACATGTGCACTGCATATGGTGACGGTTCCGAACGATTGCTGACATGTGCACAACATGTAGGGTAGTTCTGTGTGGTCATTGACATGTGCACAACATGTAGAGCGGTTACGAGCAGTTGATGATGAGTCAATCGACGGTTACAACTACTCCTGCTACGATTAGCACTTTGTGGAGAGTGGCGGAAGGACTTAGCCATGTGCAACAGATTGTGGGGGAGTGCCAGAACCACCCACAATCCTTGGGGGCAAATTTGATTGGTGCCTGCAATCCTAGTAGTTGGGGATGTCCACTGTATGGTTGAGGTTGAGTTGGCGACAGCCAGATGGTATCAGCATTGCCTAGGCGATTGGGCTCGTAACCACCATTGTATGCTTTAAATACACATGCTGGGGGTCTGTAGTATGAACACGTTTTGTAAACAAGACCCTAGCCAAAATCCTTTAAACTTGTTGAAAAGTAAAAATATTTAATCATTTAGATTGTAATCTTTTATGTTTACTGTATTTTTGATTTTTGTCTATATTTTGTTCGATAGTTTGTTTATGTGAGCAATTGTGTGAGTTTGACTGAAATTGAGTGTGAAATCTAAGTGCCAGCACAAGATAAAATTTCGAGTAAAATTTGAACCCCATGACACCAAACAATAATGCGTCAATTCAAGTCAGTGAATCAGTTTCTCTCAAATGGGGTAATACTATCTGTTATTTATCTCTCTAAAATCTTTTCAAATAAACGGACACCTTGTGCACTAGCTGCAAGCTATCCATTTATCCGATGCCAAATGATTACAGGGTAAACAAGCAGCAGAAGTACTTGAAACTCCCGGCGAAAATGTGCTAGAAAGAATGATGACGGCACAGGATCTGTGTGTTTTGCACCATATGACACTGATGTCCTCAAACCAATAATTGCTTGCTATATGCAACTTCTTAAGTTCAACGATAAATCTTCAGTACTTTGGGAGACACTACTCCTCTAAAGAGATCAACTCTACCAACAATGGCATTATCTCCGGTTGCTGTCAACGAACAACATTAATGTCGCCCAACTCAAACCGCACCCACCCAAATTGATCTTTTCCAAGTCGTTCTCAAGAGGAGAGCTCCTGCATAATTCATGGCCCATTTAAGAGGAAATTTCAACTGCACATAAGACAACTTTCATTCTGTCAAACATAAAGTCGTTTGCCCAAATTCCAACTTTCACACTCGTAGAATAAGAAGCCTAATAATGAAGCCGACACTGACCCTTTATTATCATACGGCCCAGGTGGGAAATGTATTATGAAAACACAATCGCAGTATTTGTCATCCTACTTCACTATTTTGAATCATTGTAGTCATTAACAAAACAGAATATATATACCTTCTCTCTCTCTCTCTCTCTCTTCTTTTTTTTTTTTTTTTTCCAGGTAATAAGCCTGTCAATAAGTAGGAATTATCACTACAATTACCGGGAAGACATGGAGGATTATTGACTTAAAAAGAAATCATTGACTTTCTTCCTCTCATAAAAGGATCAACCAGGAAGTGGCAGTACTAAGAATAAATGACACAAAACGATGCTAACTATGCAGGTTTGGC